GTACAATGTACAAAACCTCAGTATTTGTGCATTCCTTCTCTTAAGTCTTTCCTGATTGAATTAGCCAATTTTCCACCCTTTGAAGCTCACTCCATTTCAGACATCTGGATATTCAAAACATTTTTCCACTCGTTGCTGCTACTTTTCTATTACATTGTTTGAAAGTGTTTGAGTGTTCAACTTTTTCAATGCCTTTACTAAGTTCTTGTCATACCATTTCTGTACTATACAGAGTTCATGTACCAATAAAAATGTCTTTGCAGAATTTCTTCTGGAGCAGGAATAGATAATTGCTTTGGCTATTCCTCATCCAAGAAACCTCATGATGCTATGTGAGTCATAAGGGAGGTACCAGTCTCAAATCAATGCAGTCCCTGCATATGAAAAAGACCACAGATAAACTTTGGAAGTTGTACCCATCAACTGTGATGTCTGACACAAGTTTAGATGGTTTAAAAAGAAGACTGGACAATTTATAGAGGACCAAGTAGCCGTTAGCTTTCAATTAGCATACCATAAACAGCAGTTTAAATCCTGGTGACTTTTCTTGGCAAAAGTATGGAAGTAGCTTGCCACTGTCTTCTTTCAATACATTTTTTTTCCAGCTTCTAGCTTTGGGATTTCTTTCCTTCCAAGTATTAATCATATCCATCCCTGCTTAGCATTTTGATATCACTCAAAGCCAGATAGTGCTACCACTAAATGTAGACATTGCTAGGGGTGATTTGAATCTATAACATAATTTGTTTTAATCTTAGCATGATTATTAAACCTTTCTATTGTATTTAAACTACCCACAAATTAATAATCCTGAGTTAGCATATATATACAGAGCAAGGTCTATATTTTGTGACTAATATGCAACTGTTAGAGGTTTTTTCACTGCCGCCTTAAGCTAATGGATATCTGTGTGTAAATAAAGCTAGCTTAAGAAATCTATTTTTGGGGTTTATCCCTTTCACTGCTTTGGCCAAAGGATGTCCTGAAGTTCTGTCTGGAGCATATTTACCATAGCTTTACTTCCTAGAGCAGTGGTTCTCAACCTTTCTAATGCCGCGACCCCAACCGGTCGTAAGTCGAGGACTAAACCAGTTGAAAGTCAAGGACTAAACTGGTCGTAAGTCGAGGACTTTCCCTGCCCGGGAGCGCCACGCATATGTGGTTCCGCGCCCTGCGCCAGCCGAGGCGTAGCTGGCAAGCGGCAGAGACGGAGCAGGCCGACCACCAGCTGGCCCAGCTCAAGGGAGGTAAGGCACCCGCCGGAAAAGGGGAAAAAATGGCGGACAAAAAAAATGGCGGACAGCCTTGCTTGGCGACCCCAGTGAAATGGTCGATCGACCCCAAATGGGGTCCCGACCCACAGGTTGAGAACCACTGTCCTAGAGTGACAGCGTTTTACCATTTTTCCTCAGCTGGAAGGGAACGTGACAGAAATCTCATCAGTTTCACCCAGTTTAAAAAAAAAGAAAAAGGAAATAGGCCACCATTTCAATGAAACTATAAACAAGCCAACAAAATTCCTAGCTTTTCACTATTCAATTTATAAATTTGGGAAAAAAATCATCATCGCGGTCAGGGACATTGTATTCCTGCCCCAGTAATACATAATAATCAATAGCAGTGGAGGTGTTATCTTACAATAAACTAAAGTGGGGCAGATGAAACTACTTGAACTGCACATGTCAGAAAACACTATTTTTGATGTGTAGCAGAAAAAGATAGGCAAATATTGGTTTCCTCTGCCTTCCATAAGGGAGAAAAGAGTGATAGAGGTCAATGCTGTGCATATCTGCCCTTGAAAAATAGTCAGTGACTTGTACTTAATAGGAATAACAACAGAGTTGGAAGGGACCTTGGAGGTCTTCTAGTCCAGCCTCCTGCTCAGGCAGGAAACCCTATACCATTTCAGACAAACAGTTGCCCAATTTCTTCTTAAAAACCTCTATTGTTAGAGCACCCACAACTTCTGGAGGCAAGTTGTTTGACTGATTCATTGTTCTGTCAGGAAACTGTCTAGCTTGCTGGTCAATATGTGGCTTGTCCTCAAAGTCAGCATTAGTTAATTCAACTCAAAAGAAAAAGAAGCTTAAGTATGTATACTACTGCACCCTCCTCTTTCTGCTAGAAACACATATGGTAAGAGTGTTCTGCTTAATTCATGAACTAGAAGAGAAAATCAAGGTTAACTTGGGCCAAGGTATGTGTGCTAAATTTCACATTTTTAATACAGACTGCTTAATTTTGGGCTCTACTATATCTTTCATTGATCCCTTGCAGTAGGTAAGATGAACAAACAATGATGCTATACGCATTGAAAATGTACATTCCTAGAAGAACAGATCATAGAATAAGAATTAGATTAAATACAGTCTATGGAGGAAATAAATGGCAACCCATTTCAGTATGCAGTGAGGAAACCAAATAAACCTTTGCAACCAGACCAATGTCAATATGATACAGGGGTGAGCCCTCCAAATAAGAAAATATCTTCTCCTGCTGGGGAAGAGCATGGGCAGATGCAAGTAGTACTAATGCTTCTTTTATTTTATCAACTTATATGATCACTTATCTCACAAAGTTACACATAAAAACAATAAAAACTAATATTACCAAACAATAAAATACTACAGTGGTCACCAATGGTAAACACAGAAAAAAAAAATCAGCAAAAACCTCTCAACTGGACATCTAACCACCCATTTCCAGGCCCTGGGTCTTTAATGTTTTTTAAACAGTATTTATGATGGATGAGTGGATGAAAGCTAAAAGACGTCCAGCTGCTGATGTCACAGAGGGAAAGGAAAAGTTTGGGGCTGTAAATTCCAGATTGGCACATGGAATGTCAGAACTGTGAATAAAGGCAAACTTGAAGTTGTCAAGAAAAATGTAAGGTCTAACACTGGCATTCTGGAATGAATGGACTACTTCATTCCAGAAGAGCGGCTACTAACATACAAGAAAATAATAGAAGAAACTGTGCAACCACAATTATGTTAATAAGGGCGCCATAATCAGTGCTCACTACACCCTAAACATGACAGAACTTGAAAAAGATGATCTAATGATTTTGCTTTCTTTAGCTTAAGTTGTGATTTTGCAAGAAGCAGCTAAGTTGCATGTCAACATTTTAATAATAATAATAATAATAATAATAATAATAATAATAATAATAATAATAATAATAATAATAATAATAATAATAATAATAATAATAAAGTTGGAAGGGACCTTGGAGGTCATCTGGTCCAATCCCCTGCTCAGGCAGGAAATCCTATACCATTTCAGACAAATGGCCGTCTTTTCTTTCTTTCTTTCTTTCTTTCTTTCTTTCTTTCTTTCTTTCTTTCTTTCTTTCTTTCTTTCTTTCTTTCTTTCTTTCTTTCTCTCTCTCTCTTTCTTTCTTTCTTTCTTTCTTTCTCTTTCATCTTATATAATTTGATTTTTGTATTATTAGTTCAGTAATATCCATATGTGAATCATTTTCTAGATTGTTGGAAGAAGGTCTTTGATGTAAACATTTTGTGTTTGTTTGTTTTGGCCGTATTCTATTTGTATTTGTCTTCATTCATTTTGGGCACTACAGATACATGTTCCATTTACTTAGTGTAACATATCAATTTCCTAAAATTAGCAGGACATGTATTTCTGATGCTGTGTCAACAACTGTAGGTTTTAAATAAAGGATTCCTATGTAATTACTGTTTGTTGTAGTATTTGTAAACCGTAAGGAATTTTAATGTAGCATTATATAATAAGTGATAAATAAATGTATAATAGGTGGTGGCCCAATAAATGGAATGCTGGGAGGTTTCTAGCTTAGAAAGAAGTGAAAGTGGGTTGGAAAATAATAATTTTATGGGAGTAGCAGATATTAACATGCTAGTGTAGAATCTCCCTCTATGATTGTTTAAAAAAGAATAACAAATTGCAAACTGTTATTCTTATTAAAAAAGATGTTGCTTCTTTGCAGCATAATCTTTGACAAAGTTCATACATATATACATTATATATATATACACATATGTATATATGTCTTGGATTATGTATATCTGTTAAATTTCGATTCCTTTTTTAAAAAAGGGGGGTTATGTGGAAGGAATATGCTTTATGGTGGATCAATAATTTCATTACAAGCATGTAGGTTCTAAGATAACTAGTGAGTGTCTAAGAATCTCCTTCAGTTTCTGTTGTGAAGTTGATTAAGTAACCTTGGGTCTAAACTACTTAACAGGCTGTTGTGGTATTAACATTGGGAGGACAGAAAACTTTTTAGTAGACTTTTAGTAATCAATGAGCTAGGATTTTAAGACTATTGTAAAATATATATTAAATATTTTATTTATTAAACTATTTTATCCAGTGTCAAATTTAGATTATGTTTATAACTTGCTTTTCGGCCTTTGGGCCATAAATTAAAATGATTGATTGAACTAAATTAAGAATATGGACTGTCCAAACACTGGCTAAAACGTCAGAAACATCTTGCTGTTAGTATAGTGTTGCTTTGAAGAACATTATAACCAAATATAATACTTGCAATTTTTATAAAAGAATTGGGAACAAAGCTGCTGTTAGAAATCAATGGAACAGTCCACTGTTGCTCCTCAAATCAATAGGTTCAAATTTGGTTGTGAGGAGTTCGTCTAGATGATTTCCATAGGCTGCACTAAGTCTCAGCAAGTCTGGTCCTCACTCGTGACCTCTACTCGATTCTTTAAAAACGGAGGGTCGATTTGAAAACGTGGAAGGTTAAAGAAGGAGAAGGACTTTTGGAAAGAGGTCGCTGAAGGAGCCATTATAATTGTCCTAAGACCTAAGTCATATAACAGGCCCATAACAAACTTCCTCGTTTCTCCGTCAAAAGTGAAGTCAACAGGGAAAGAAGGTAATGAGTTTTCTATCAGTTCAACGGGCTGACTCTCTCTCTCTCTCTCCTAGTATTTCTGGGAGGAACTCCAAAAGGGGGAGGAGGGGAGAAAGGGAGGGAGGGAGGCAGACAGCCTTGGGAATGAAGATTAGGAAGGTAAAGAGAAGCGCGCTATTTTCTTCGCTCGCTTGATGAGCGTCTCTAAACCTTTTTGCCTGGTAAATGTATTAGCCCTGGTGCTTCGGTTCCCGAGAGACAAAGGAGCCCCGCTGCAGGCCAGAGAGCGGAACTGATGTGGAGGCGGCCGTGAAAGTGTGGAAGAGAGAGAAAGAGCGGAGCAGCAGCGAATTCTGTGAAAAGCGCCTCTCTGGGGCTGCTCCCGAAAAGAGGCAGAGCTTGCGGCTAGATGGAGAGAGGAAAGCTCCGGGCGGCAGCGTCTGTTTGCCTGCATCCGCTTCCCTGAACACTAACAAGCCTTTCGGGGGAATCTGTTTTGCCCCCAGCAGAGCTACATGGCAACCCCCGCGGTCTGAAAGAGAGGATCTGAAAGAATCTTGGAGAAGAGTAACTTGCTGCAAGAGTAAGTTTCATTGCTGTTCTGAGACTCTTGACATCCTGTATGTGTCTAGGTCTGGGAGACAGGCAGGCAGGCTGTATTAACAGTGTGTAGATTGTACAAATCTTTTTGACTTTTCTGTATCAAGCACTCCCAGGCATTGATAACTGCCATTATTGTTGAAGAATGTCCCCCACCCATTCCCAGGGACAAGAGTGCTCGTCTACTTTCAATTCATAGGTTCATCTTCAGAATCTCAACAGTCCCTTCTAGCAGAATGTGGTTAGTTTTGTTCTTCACTGAAGGGGTTGTTACTGACACATATACTCTCATCTTTAAAGAGAAGAGTGACACACAAAAAACAGTAGAAATGTGCAAAGCAATTTTTATAGGGTTGCCAGGTCTGCTTCCCAAAAATAGCGGACAAGCGGGGGGGGGGTGTTAAGTAGTAAAAAAAGTAGACTGTACAGCTTTAGATTACGTACCATTTCATCATAAAGCTTTTGAATAAAAAAATGTCCACTATTTTGTGAGAAAAAAATAGTGAACATAATGTGAAAAAAGTGGACTGTCCGCTCAAATAGTGGACACCTGGCAACCCTAGATTTTTAAAAATGTGTTTTGGGAGGATCAGCAAGATTTCTGTTGCTGACGACTCACTCTAAGAATGTTGGATACCTTTGGTCTTTTCTGAGAGCCCACTAATAATGTGTTTCTCCTCCCATTTTCTTTTTTAGGGTCACAATGAACTGGACACCAGTTGTGAGCTTAACTGTGTTATGGGCAACATGGCTAGTGTGTGGCTCACATAAGCCAATGAGGCAAGCTGAGAGAGGGAGTCTTGGAGTCAGAAAAGAACCTGTGGCCTACAGGAGCAATTTCAGGAGATCTATTTCAACCCAGCCCAGGTTGGGCAAGGTGCCTCAAAGACGTGTAAATCTTTCTGGGAGATATTGGCAACGTCCCCTTGTTAAAAGGGATTCTTTGGAACCTAAAAACCTAGCAGCGTCTTCCTCAAAAAATAAATCTCAGGTTCAGATAAGGACTGGCGAGATAAAAATACGGCAGATGAAAAGACCTAAGTTGGAAATGATTAAAGATGAAGGAACATCCACTGCAGTCCAATCACGTGTTGTGCGTTTTCCATTAGGGTCCAGTTCTCCCAATATCCTGGCTAGCTTTGCAGGCAAGAATAGAGTCTGGATTATCTCTGTTCCTCATGCCTCAGATGGCTATTACCGGCTCATGATGAGTCTGCTGAAGGACAATGTCTATTGTGAGCTAGCGGAAAGACATGTCCAGCAGATTATACTGTTCCACGGGGAAGGTGAAGAAGATAGTAAAGTTAGGAAGATATCCCCTGAAGGGAAAATCCTAGAGCAGCCTCTAGATCCAAGCCTCATTCCCAAACTCATGAGCTTTTTGAAACTAGAGAACGGGAAATTTGGAATGGTGTTGTTAAAGAAGACGTTACAAGTTGAGGAACGCTATCCTTACCCAGTAAGGTTGGAAGCTATATATGAAGTCATTGACCAGAGTCCCATCAGGAAGATTGAGAAGGCAAGGCAAAAAGGCTTCATTCAGAAATGTAAAGCAGCTGGAGGAGAGGGCCAGATCATCAAGGAAGGGATCAATGGGGGCAGCAACACAAGAGCAGCTCCCAGTGGTGGTCGTGTCCAGTCATTCCCGAGAAAGGAAGAAACAAGAAAAGGCAAAATGCAACCAACCAGAGTGAAAACTGTGAAGAAAGTGGTGGTGGCCACATTGCCATCTCTTTCGCCCACTATATCTAGAGCCACTACCTTTCCTCCAACAACCACAACTCTCAAGCCAATTGCCAGAATAACGACAATACCAAGCAGACCCACAACCACCATCACAACTACTCCAACTACACAGAGAATATGGACCACAAAGTCACTCACCCAACTTCCTACAGAGCCCGAGACAACTATTGCTTCTGAGACAGAGACATCCCTTTCCATGGGGAAGGAAAACCGCAGAGGAAAGCATCCAGGTCAAAGACAACCAACAGCTACTAAAAGACCCAGGAAAGCCAGTCATTATGACACTTACACAGAAATCCCAAGGGCCACCTCAGAGCATTACACCAAGGCAAATGCTGGCAGATTCAAAGACAATCGGACAGACAAGAAGGAGAGTCGGGACCCTGGCATCACAGCTGGCCAGCAGAAGCCTCCTAAAAGCAAGCAGTCCAAACAGAAAGCCCAGGATAAGATACTGAGCAATGAATATGAAGATAAATATGACTTAGGGCAGCCTACCAGTCCTCATGTAGAGGAAAGCATCCCCATAGGAAATATTCCACCCAAGAAAGCCAAAGAGTCAAAAAAACGCATCCCTTCAAAAAAATCTGAAAAGAAGAAAGAAAGATATGACAAGAAAATTGAGAGGCAGGCCAAGAAGGACAGAGCTGAAAGGAAAAGCAAGCAAGAGAAAGAGCGCAACAAGAAAAACAAGAAAGGGAGCAAAATAGAGACTGGAGGAAGCCTGAAACCCCACGCTAAGCCTTTCACACAGAAATCTGTGACAAACCTTCTGAACTTCTTTGAAGGCAAAAGACGACTTTTGGTAAGTAGATTATCCCTGAACATACATCACTCACATCTATTCATAATTAAGTCTCTTAATGAGACCCTATAAACATAGACTTTTCTTTCTAAACAGGCATCTGTTGCATTTGTTTGGCTTCTGAAAGTTTTCGATGGCGGACAATATTTTGACATTTTCATTTTGATGATACCATAATATTAACTAATCAAGCATGATGAACCTATAGTTTTCTAGATACTCTGTTATTCAAGTTCTATCATCCCTCATCTATGGCCATGTTGGCTGAGATTGTTGAAATTGAAGTCCAGCAATATCTGAAGGATTGCATTCCTCTACTTGAATTGCCTTCTGAGAAAGCCAGTGTTATTCTTGTAAATCAGGGGTAGTCAACCTTGGCTCTTTTATGACTCGTGGACTTCAACTCCCAGAATTGGGAGCCACAGCTGGCTCAGGAATTCTGGGAGTTGAAGTCCACGAGTCATAAAAGAGCCAAGGTTGACTACCCCTGTGTAAACCAAAGGTGCTGCCAGAATGGAAGAGGCCTTGGGAGTGACATTTGAGTGTTATACATGCACACTGTCCTTTCAGCTTCCACCTGCATTCTTCCCACTCATATTTGCATATATTCCCTACCTTCTGTCCATTTTCATTCCTTCATTGGGAGCCTTCCTTTCACCAGCATGTAACTTTTTAAAGAATTTTGGGTCACCTCAGAACAAAGACGCTCATTTCTGCAGAGAGTTGCTAAGGTAAAGAGCATGAGAAAGGCAGGATAGGGCCTCTGCTCAACTGTGGGCCCTTACGTGGTGCAAAGTCTACCTCTGCACTCATCCAGCTGCATCCAGCTGCACCACTGAGGCAGAAAATTGTGCATTGATAGAACAGGTCTTAGGAAGGATTTTTTAACATTTCTGTGGGAAAAGCCTGTTTTTACAGATCAGTCTTTACTGTCTATGTCAGACATGTCAAACACAAGGCCCGGGGGCCAGATGCGGCCCGTGAAGTGGTTTCAGGTGGCCCGCGAAGCCATCCTGGAAACAGTGAGGGAACGGCCCCTGCTATCTTGGCCCTGGCCCAGGCCAGCTGGGAGCCAATATACAATTTTGTGGTGGCCATCTTGGCACTTGCCCCAGTGGACCATGCCTTGGCACTTTCCCCAGTCCCACCCCCTTCTGCCAGAGACCTTCAGATCTGTCCCACTCCTGCCCAGGTCCCCATAGGCACTCTTGATGCGAATGATGTAGAACTGGCCACGCCCACCCAGTAGGCCACACCCACTCCATCCACGCCCACCCAGTAGGCTGCACCCACTCTGGCCACACCCACCCGGCCCTCCCAGGGCAACTGCAATGCTGATGTGGCCCTCAGTGAAATTGAGTTTGACACCCCTGGTCTATGTTGTTGAAGTATATACCGTAGTAATGAATTAGTCAAGTCTTTTAGTTAGTTGAACTGGGGATACTTACTAATTTCTCTTCATTGTATTCTAGTGCCAAATTTACTGCTGAAGAGGGAGGACCTTTCAAAATAGACCTGAGATATGGGCAGAAAGAGAAAAATGTCACAAAGTCATGTTACACGAGTGAAGGCTCACACATGAAATATTGCACATATCCCCAAATGTTTAGGTTTTTTTTTAATGTGCTGAATTCACAGAAACAGCTGTTACTATCTTCTGCTTTTCTTCCAAGAGATGTCTTACATTGCCATATCTAAGAAAGCTTTCCATATTCAGTTTTACACCTGGGCTCCATACCTGCTGGAATAATTGCCTAGGAACCTACACTTACCAATAATGGGTGAGACTAGACTCAGAATGGTTGGGGACCCTTCTGTCTTCATCTGACATTTTATAAAAGAATTATGCCATTCTCCCTTTCACATTTTTTTTCTTCCTGACAACCTCTAGGGCAATATTTTCAGGTATAAAAATTTCAGGTCAAGTGCACTGCTAGCTTACTTTGCCACTTTGCTCTCAGTCAGCAAAGTAAAGGCCATTGCAAATTTGGGGCATGGCCTCCATACTGGGTTTATAATACCTTGCTAACCAAAGGCTTTGTGCTCCCTGACTGGGAGGCGATATTTTCAAGCTGCCTAGTCAGTGGCGTGGCTGATATATCTTGTAGGCAGGGAGCTGAGGGCAAGGAGTCTAGCCACATTTTCCAAGAGGTTGCTTGAGTTCCTTTGCCAGTTGTTGAACACCAGTTGTTTCCATAACAAAAAGAATCATTGTAAGAACATTTAAAACACTTCTGGACTGAGGATAAGATGTTAGCATATGAAACATTATCATCCTCTGATTAAGAGGGAACACAGATTGCCAAGGAGTGCCAATGTAAACTGCAAGTACCATAAGAACAGGATTTAGAGTGGTGAACTACAGGCTGCATTTAAAAGTGGGTAGGTCCCAGAATTAATAAAGTACAATTAATATGATTACTTCTTATATTTTTAATAATCCCCTTCTGTCATAGAGATTTTTAAAATGTAAACATTAGTTTAAGGACAGTGGACTATTCACATTCTATAACTTCAGAAACAGATTATTTCATGTTCCTAAATCTCAGACAAATTAACCGTTTGTTCCTTTTTCAATCATATGAGTCAGCTTGGCTATGAGATATGAAAATAGAAAAAGGACTTCTCCCTGTGCATGGGTGACTTAGGAAAAGAATCATAAGGCTCACTGGGACCCAAAATATTGCCTACGATGGCACCTTATGATGGAGGAGGACAATATGTGGCCTTACACATTCTCATCATTCTTCAAAACTAATATACTTGATAAGAGTGATTGATAAAATTTTGAAAGATAAAGTTTTCTATCCCTACCTTAGTTTGTCATTAGCATGGCATTTTTCTAAAAATGTAATTATAAATCTTGTGGAGCAAATCATTAAATCTTTTCTCAGTAATTTGCACAAATTGTCAGAAAACAAGAAACAGAGATGGTAGAATCTATGACCCAGTAATATGAGGAACTGAATTAACAACAGTTGAAAAAAGGATGTTGTATGTTTATTGTTTTACAGTTCATGCTGAATATATTTATATATATTTCAACTTCCAACATTTCTAGTTGATATTTTGTTCATCATATTGATGACAAATTCTAGATCTTACTTTTTTTCTGGGATTGGTCTAGGACAGTGGTGGCAAACCTATGGCACGCGTGCCAGAGGCGGCACTCAGAGCCCTCTCTGTGGGCACGCACGCCATGCCCCGGAGATGGCAACCGTCCTTCTTCAACCAGCTGCCCACAAAATCGCTGAGGTCCCACATGGCCAGATGCATCCCAGCACCCATGCGCTGGCCTCTGTGTGCAGGGGCCGATGGTGTCAGGCAGCAGCCACCCCGGTCCGTCTCACCTTGCCCTGTGACAATGGCACCCCCGCCCTGCCTCACCCAGCAGGACGAGCCTCCTACCCACCGCCCCACCTGCCAGAGACCCCCTGGATCTCCCCCAACTCTGCCCAGCCCCCACAGGCGTCCCTCCCCACGAGCAACATCGAGGTGATCACGCCCACCTTGGCCACACCAACCCAATCTGCCATGACTACAGCCATGCAGACCCAGTGGGCCACGCCCACTTGGCATCCAGCGATAAATAAGTGGGTTTTGGGTTGCAGTTTGGGCACTCGGTCTCTAAAAGGTTCGCCATCACTGGTCTAGGATATGAACGTACATATCTGCAATATTTTTAGCATGAACAGTTGTACTACCTATCCCAAGAAAAAGATATATTTCATACACCAAAGTCACTACACTACTTACAGACTTTGGTACTACGAAATAACGGACAAAAACGGAAAGGGTTTTAAATTGTTAACATATATTGTAATTTGAAGGTAGTTTGTAATAAATTTTCTTTGTACCGTTGGAGGAGTCTACAAAAGGAATTGTTTATTTTAATTTCATGGCATATTGTGAGAATTCATACTTACTTTATTGGTTATTATTTATGCAAATAACGGTTATTATAAATGCAAAACAAAACATGATTATGCATGATAAGTGAAACACAAATTTTATTTTGTCATGTTTAATAATATTAGAAATCTATAGAATAGATTTTCTTTAGGCAATTAATTTGTTGCCATATTTTATTTTATTAGCACTATTTATTTTATTAGCACTAAACTTGCTGGATTCCTTATATCTCTTTATTGTTAATTTTAAAAAATAAATAAAATTGAAATGTAGGTGCAGTATTATCCTACATGAACCCTGGAGGAATCCTTAGGAAATAAAAATGGTGATAGTTGCAGCCAACTCCCTTATTCTGAAGCCTGACTAGTTTCCTTGCCACCCAAAGAAAAGCATTAGTTGGGAGATACATGATGAAAATCTAAGGGAGTAATTTTATTAAAGTATATATGTGTACATGGGTTTTGTCTGCTTGTATGTGTCTGTTAACTATTTAATGTGTTAAGGATATTCAGATGAATTTCTCCAGGGTGGAGCTAAGTTACATGAGTGAAGAGTATTCTGATTTCTATGGATGGCTTGTGAAGACACTCATGTTGGCAGAGAAGTGGGGAGGTGCTTTTTGCAGAATGGGTCCAAGGCATGACCAACCAGTCCACGTTTGCTCTTCTATGAGGAGAACAGGAAAGAGGATCTTGGAATTACTCAGTTCCCAGACTACCAGCTTCTGGACATACTAATGATGTTTGTAGATAACATGTGGGGTCATTTGCAAATTCTGGCCTTGCTTTCCTCTCTCCTGTTTGTGTCTGTGGTTTTGCTTCAGGCTCATTTATTCTACCCTGGACAAGTTACATTTGTTTGCTACTCTGTGGTGTGGAAGTACAGTATGAAATCTTGAGTGCCTTTTTTTTATACATAAACATAGAAGAAATTCATAGCCAGGCAGCATTTTTACTAAATTTTAAATTTAACCCATTGAGAATTTTATATCAAAGTATGCTTTCTTTGTTTCAGAAATAATTATATTTGATTTTAAAATTTTGATTTTAAAGAAGAGCTCCATGATCAGATCTTTACTACCATCATTCTTTTTAAAAAAATTACCCTGTGGAAATGAACTGGATTTAGGAAGACACTCACTACAAGGGAAATAATTGATTATTCTTTGACTAGGTACAGACACTACATTTCCATGATTTATGTAATTTAGAGTTGCTATCTCAGGGTTGCCCAGATTCCCTGTGTAGCAACTCTAACTTAACTATGGTTTATCAAATAATCCATATTTTTCTGCAGTTGTACAACAAAAGGGACGTTGTCTTACTGAACGCCTTTTCTCAGCACAGAGATGGAGAATCCACCAATGGGTTTGCTCTGTCTTCCTGCCCTTGAGACCAAGTCAGCCAAACTTGTCACATCCCCTGCTGGGCTAGGAGAATCCCAATCTTGACGAGGGCGAAGGCAGCTGATGACAGTCCGAAGGTGTTGGCTCTCAGACCCCTAACCCCGGCCTCACGGACCCTAAGGGGTGGGAGTGGATTCTCCATCTCCGTGCTGAGAAAAGGCGTTCAGGAGATGGAGAATCCACCAATGGGACATACCAAAGCCTCACTGTCCCAATGGAAGGGAAACAGATAAGGCCGGGTCCGCTTACCCAGATACCACTTGCTGAAGGACCCTCCGACCAAAGGAGGCGTCCGCGGAAGCAAAGCGATCTATTTTATAATGTCTAACAAATGGGGAAGGCGAAGACCATATCGTAGCCCTACAAATCTCTTCGATGGACGCCTGAGTGGCCCATGCCGCAGAGGTCACAGTGCTGCAAGTGGAATGAGCCATGACACGACTTGGAGCTGGCAGGGAAAACGACTGGTACGCCTTCGCAATGCAGGCCCTGATCCACCTGCCTATAGTAAAGGCAGACACCTTCTGTCCCAGAGAGGCAGGGTGAAAGGAAACGAAGAAGGCCTCGGACCTGTGGAAGGACGCCGTTTGTTTGATGTATCGGCGTATTGCCCTGCGGACGTCCAGCATGTGCCACTGTCCCTCCAAGTCATGGGAAGGATTAGGACAAAAATCCGGCAAAACAAACTCCTGGGTCCTATGAAAAAGAGAGTTGACCTTGGGCACAAATGTGGGATCCAAGCGAAGGACCACCCGGTCCCGTTGAAAAATACAGAGGTCATCCCTGACCAACAGTGCAACCAGCTCAGAAATGCGCCTGGCTGACGTGATAGCAACCAGGAAGGTGACCTTGTGGGACAAGGACCGTAGAGCACTAGTTGTGAGAGGCTGAAATGGCGGCCTGGTGAGGGCCCGTAGGACCTGAGGTAATTCCCAAGAGGGATACCTGTGTACCACGGGTGGCTTAGTGTTGGTGGCGCCCTTGACAAAGGCGTGTATCCTGGGATGCTGGGCCCAAGGGACCGAATTGGCACAGGTAAGTAAGGTTGATAGGCCGCAAACTGCCTATGGATGGTATTAGGGGCTAAGCCCTTATCAAGGCCGTCTAGGAAGTATTCTAAGATCTGTGGAATTGTCAAGTCCGAGATATCCAGTTGCCACCTTTCACAACAATGGCAAAAATTCCTCCATGTGGAGTCATAGATGCGATTTGTCGCTGGTTGGCGAGATGCCTGAATCATGGAAATCGCTCTAGCCAAGAACGACTCCTGGATCATGATCCGGC